GCACATAACCACAGCCACACATCACCTTCTAATGTGTACACACTTCCACTTTCATCAGCTGAGGTACAGACTAACCTTCTTCTTGCTCCCCAAAGTGTTTATATGAATTTATATGTTCATGCAGTTTTTAAACGAAATATTACGTAAATATTTTTTTTTTCTAAAAAACTAAGATGAATGCTTTAGAAAGTTTCACCAAAGTTGAGACTCCAAGATTAAGTGTTACCCAGTAAGTGTTGAGGTAATTGTAACAGATTGGGAAAAAAATGTGCCAAAGGTTTAATAAGATTCTGTATTCAATGTTCCATCTTTTTAACATAATATGCAGGATTTATAAATATTACAGCTACCTATGGATATTATAGAGTCCTGGTGTGACAATGGAGGATAAGCACTGGATTAGCCAGCCACAAGGTTGGCGGTTCATATCCACCAGCTGCTTCTTGGAAACTCTGTACAGGGTTGCTATGAGTCCAAACTGACTTGATGGCACTTAACCACCATCACAACCATGGATATTATAGAACATACAAAATGTCATATATGTTGTTTATATATATAAGTTGTTAAGTGTCATCGAGTTGGTTCTGACTCACAGTGTATAAGGTTTCAAAAGAGCAGCTGGTGGGTTTGAACTGCTGCCCTTGTAGTTCAAACCAGCCTGTGCAGTGTTTATCCTCAGTGCCACGTCAGGACTCCCAGGACACATTATGCACCATAAAATATAATCATTTAAAAGTATGTACACAAAAAAATAATTCATCCAATTAGTAAAGTGATAAGGAAAGGCATCATATCTCAGAGTTCTTCCAAGCTACATTAAGAAACTGAACTTGTTGACATCTGCTTACCCCAACCTCTGATGTACATTCTGGCAAGTATAAAGTGACAGCAATATCAACAGAATGTTAAACTGTGTCCTGTCCCCAGCCAGGTTAAGTTAGAAAAACAAAGGTTAATGAAACAAGCTACAATTCCAAAATGTCTCCAATATTTCCTTAGAATTGACCTTTCCTTTACAAACTGCTACTTTACTCTTCTCTCTACACAATAAGTTTATTCATACTTTGGAATAAAAGTTCTGGAAGGAGGACTCGCAGAGGAAACTACTTGATTAAAGAGAACTCACATCATACGAACCCAATTGAAGTGAAATTATTTCATAGCATAGTATAATCCAATCTTAAATTTAAATACATTAGTTGAGGTATAGATGAAGCTTGTTATGCACCCCAAATTATTTATACTAATTGTACATATATACATTTTATTTAATAATGTGTAAGATTATTAAATTATCTGCTGTATTATTTTCTATGAGCAGTTGTTGTTGTTAAGTGCCATCGAGTTGGTTCTGACCTATGTATAGGGTTCCGACCCTTTATAGGGTTTCTAAGGAGCGGCTGGTGAGCTGGCACTGCCAAGCTTGCAGTTCAAACGGCTTTGCGGTCGGGCGCATTAACCCACAGCACCACACCAGGACTCCCTATTAGCAGTTAGTAGTTTCAAATTATTTTGTGAATCTAGAGATTTAGAAAATTATACTGAATAGAATGCTTTCATAAAAATCAATAAAGAATACTGTTTGTGGTTTGTTGTTGAAAATCAGGTGAAATTTTTTCTTTCACAATAATTCCTATTAAGCAGCAGTGTGATTAAGAACAGGAACTTTGAAATCTAAGAACTAAACTTAAGTCTTAGCTCTGTCTGTCCTTTATGTTTGGAATATTTGTAATTACCAAGTATGAATTACTGTTTTTAATGCCATTAATTAATAACAACACTATGTGAAAAAGGCCAGATTTTTTTAAATTTCCAAAAGAGGAGATAGAAAATAAGATGATGGCTTACACAAAAGACAATGATAAATGGACACTTTCGACCCATATCCTATATTTCATTTTATTAATTATTATAATTCATGATTCTAAGAGAACCTGGTTCTAAGAGAGGAACCCAATTCCGAGAAGCAGAAAATAAAGACAGAGAAGCACCAGAATATGTAGCTACGAAAACTATTCATTGAGATGAACAACAAACATGGTAGTTAATGACCTTTATTATCTGAACTGAAAGTGGAAATGCTGTTAAGTTTTGAATGTGTTTGCTGACTTTTCATCTAGAAACCTGAATACTAAGTACAGTGGTCTTTGTTGGAGCCAATAGCAATGAATAAAAGTTCAGAGAGGGTTCTAAGGAGGACTTTTTGTACCCTGCTAGTACCCTGGAGTCCTGGTATGGCGCTGTGGGTTAATGAGCTGGACTGCAGGGTCTGTTTGAGCCTTAAGGTTGGCGGTTCAAGTTTACCAGCCACTCCTTGGAAACTCTATACAGGATTACTATGGGTTGGAACTGACTCAATGGCACTTAACAAACAACAGTGCTAAGTGACATATGTTGCACTTCTGAAAAGGTATTTGAGAACCTGTTTTGAGATGGTGCTCTGAAAGCTTAATGCTCCTCTTTAAAATATATCTCTATATTTAATGTCGCTCATTTTGAGCAATATTTGTGGTCCTGATCCCTTTGAAATTGGACTTGTAAGCTATGTAATTATGTTATTATAAAAAAATGAATTTATTCTCATCATAAACACAAACGCTCATTTTCAACTCAGACTACATGGTACATTGTTTGTGGGAGGAATAATGTTTCAGCCACTGATAACTCTTTAGCATTCAGCACATAAGCCAGTTCATATTTTATATCCATTAAATATTGAACGAATGAATTCATTAATGAAATAAAGAAAAGCAGGCCCAAGATAGCAAAACAATCCAACTTTGCCATCTAGTGGTAACTTAACAAAAATGTACATACTAAATTTCGCAGAACATGAAAAAAGTAAGGGATATAACACAAAACAACTTTAAGATAGACATGTGGATGATCAATTTTGCCACTACAAGCTTCAGTTTTCTGTGTTGTACATATAGTTTCAATATACCAAATAAGGTGACATGAAGATTTTCTGAATATAAAAAAATCATATAGTAAGAAAAAGTCCATTAAGATCCAATCTTTGTACCCCAGGTGGTACAAAAAGTCAAGCATTTGATTATGAGCTGAAAGACTGGCAATTTGAATAGTGTAGTGGATCAGTAGTTCTAATCCACCAGTTGGTCCGCAGAAGGCTTTCTTCTCTGGTAAAGATGTGTATCTTCAGAAACCCTACACAGGGTCTCTATGAGTCAGAACTGACTTGACGGCACACAGCAGCAACACAGGTGCCTTGGAAGACAGGACTGGTGATCTGCTTCCAAAATGTCACAGTATTGAAACCCCTATGGAGAACAGTTCTACTTTGTACACCATGGGGTTGCTATGCGTCAGAATCAACTCGATAGCAAAGTACATAAAAGTGCGTCATTATTTTAAAAAGCATATCATGGTAGCGTAGTGGTTACGAATCGGGCTGCTAACCTTAAGGTCAGCAGTTCGAAACTACCAGCAGTTCCGCAGGAGAAAGATGAGGCGTTCTGCTCCTGTAAAGATTTACAGCCTTGGAAACCCTGTGTAGGGTCACTATGAGTTGGAACCGACTCCGCGGTACTTAACAACAACAAGGACCCATAGTATGGCAATGATGTGTTTTTCTCCCTTGTTGTTGTTGTTGTGTGACATAGAGTTGATTCCGATTCATAGTGACCCTGTACAGGATTCTGAGAGTGGCTGGTGGGTCTGAACCACCAGTCTTGTAGTTAGCAGTCCAGTATGGTGCTGTGGGTTAATGTGCCACACTGCAAAGCCATTTGAACTGCAAGGTCGGCAGTTCAAGCTCACCAGCCACTCCTCGGAACCCCTATACAGGGTCGCTATGGGTCAGAACAGACTCTACGGCACTTCACAACAACGACTTATCCTACAATGCTGCATCAAGACTTCAATGTAATTTATTAAAGCGATATTTTGTTTTTAAAAATATTGAGGGGTAATGGCCAAAAATTTTATGATTCTCCTTGAGCAAACAAGCAATACTAGTCTCTGTCATGTAAATATAGTCTGTGCCTTGCAGTGCATTAATAAATCATACCCCACTCTATTTAAAACCTCACATCAAGCCGGTTGTATTCCATCTTCCTCAATGTATATCAACAGGACTTGCTTCAGGCAATAAGAAGAAAATTCCTTTCTTTACCCTCACAGCTATCAAAAGCATTCCCAACTCTACTATAGGCATCCTTGCTGGCTTGAGACAAATATTAGAACCTCATTCAGAATTTTTCATTTGTTGATTTATGATTTAATGTCTCTACAGAAGAGCTAATGTTTCACTATTATTTTACTTTTCTACTTTACAAAGATAAATTAATGAGCTTTTGTTCTTTGAGTTCATGCTTTAAGGTACAAAAGTTAATAAACAAATGCAAATAGTGTTTCAACTTTAAGTCCTGAGCTTCTCTCTCAAGAGGCCTCCTTTAAACTTTGCTCCAACAGAACAGTTCAAGAACCTTAGAATTCATTATATGGCCTTCATTCTTTTAGAGTTTCTCTGGCAAAGGCCAATGGTGATCATTGTTTTCTTCTAAAGTATCAATGATCATATTTAAAACAGCGAGAGTTTAAAAAAAAAAAAAAAAGTAAACCTAGTGAGAACAGTATTGGATCAAAGTCACTCCAGAGATCCCTGAAGCCAACATCTTTTCAGAAGTTTGCTGTGGAGATGTTCTGCCACTTTGCCAGCAGTTGGTGTCATCCCCAACTAAAGCAAATGGGCAGAGGAGTCAGGAAAAAGGAAGCCAGTCACAGGAAAAAGAACTAACTATTCAATTACATTCACACAGTTTATATGGATTTATGTTAACTATAAAAGAAGCTAAAAACCCCTGCACTCATTGTGGGCAAATGCATTTACTTCTGCATACTTCTATGTGTGTTCTACCGCATAGTCACCAAAGGATGTTCAAAACACAAGGCTCCAAACATTTCATAAGTGAAAAAAGTATGTGAACTGAAAAGCAGGTCAACAGAGCAGAAGATGATCGGTGACTTATACTCACCGTGGTGGTGGTGGTGACCTCCTCAGTTACAACCTTCAGGGTGTCGACCACGGAGATGTAACCCAGACGCTTAGCAATTGCCAGGGCGGTGTTGCCATTCTGAAGACAGAGTGAAAGAGAGCAAGAGAGTGAGAAAGGCGAGGGAGGACTGCGATGTGAGCCAATGAGATCACCCGCTGCTCTGCATGAGCCAGCACTTCCTTCCAAAACAAGGCACAGCTTAGGAAAATCACTAGTTTTTACCATTACATCTAAATCTGTCTTTGTAATTTCTTTAGACTATAGCCCAGGTCACTATGGTAACACAACAAGCTTACATCTGCCTGCTCTTTCTAATAAAAAACACTTGCCGCTTTAACCCTAAGGCTGTCAAATATCTCTACAGATACTGTATTGTGCTGATGAAAGTGCCTCTGGAATTGAGGTTGGTGGCTCCAAAAAATAACAGCAAGTAAGAGGTGCACTTATTCATCATCAAAAGTCACACCATCTGCTGCAGGTAAGATGTGACCCTAGGGAACACGGTAACATATTTAGCTGCAGCTGTGCAGAAACTCACCCTGTAACAAAATAACAAAAGCCAGCAATCCAGGATCCAGCTCAGACCACTGGGGATCCTTGTTTGTTTAATTGCAGTCCTTAGTTTACATTTCAATGGCTCCACGTTTCAATGAGCTTTGCCTAACCCAGCAGCCTCAAAAACTGTGCTGCCTTAGAAGGCCAAGAGGGAGGGGTCCCCTTGTGCTCTCACATGTGAGAGCCAGCTGTTGGCCCAGCAAATTCATGCAGTCAAATGGAGGGCTCTGCCGGCAGAGGGGAGACCCTCCCCCAGAAAAGAGACCGTCCCCCAGCAGACACACCCAGTGAAACACTTCAACTTCTCCTAAGTAAGGCTCTGCAACTGGACTTCTCTAGAATCCCGAGAGAATGAATTAAAATTCAACTCAAACAAAAGGTCACGGGATAAAGAGAGGAGGAAGAAGAAGAAAGTGTGGCGAGGACCGCCCAGTATATCTTACCGCAGTGGTGGCATTGGGCTTGGCCCCGTGCTGGAGAAGGATGTTAATGATGTGCGTGTGGCCCTGCTGGGCAGCCTGGTGTAAAGGAGTGTAGCCGTTCTGTGGATGGTGGTGGAGCATCGATTGAAAGAGAGAAAGTAGGTTAGCCTTCTTTTTAAATTTCTCAGTCTTATTTACAACAAAGGACTCCTGATGTGGCACTGTAGGGTAAGCAATGGACTGGTAACCAAAAGGTCATCAGTTCAAACCCATCAGCTGCTACTCAGAAACCCTGTACTGGATCACTATGAGTCAGAATTGATTCCATGGCACTTAACAAAAACATTTACAAAACTATCAAAGATGCTTTGTTGAGTTAAGCCCAATGTTACCAGCAACTCATTTCTAACAGTAAACACTCCCTCACACCTTATGTTCTGGTAAAAGAAAAGACTAGCTTATGAAACAGCAAAATGAACTGACTGTAAATTATTCTTGCTGTATGTTAACCAATTAACATTAAAAATGGGTCTACTGAGAGGAGATTTACAATAGGAAAGAGCATTATCATCGCTATGAGCTCTTCTCTAGAAAACAAGGATGAGCAACACTGTTTTGCTAGAAGACAGCAGACATCAAAATAACCACTGTGTGCTCATTAGGACTTTCCTAATAATTAGAGTTGGGGCAAGTTTGAAGATTCTAAGTCAATGAAAGCAAGTCTACATCTTATATTCCATTCAGAGAACAGCTTTGGTCGAAGAAAACCTCACATATTAAACACTTAGAGAATAGAAGATTCCACTAGAAGCTGAGTAGCTTCTTCTCATTAGAAAGTGTTTTTTAAAACTAGGTTCTTTTAAATATTCTGTTCTAAAGTTTCATGCTGATGAAAGCTTTGTAATACCTGATTTTTGTGCAATTATGTCAAGGTTAGTGCAAATTCAGTCTTGCTCCAATGGGTGGTGGGTACAGGTTGTTATGTCTTCACATTAATAATACTGTACTGAAATTCTTGAAGACACAATGTGGAATTAAGTGCACCAAATGACACTGTGTCAATTCTGACTCATGGTGACCCCACAGGTGTCCGAGTAGAATTGTGCTCTAGATGGATTTCAGTAGCGGAATTTTCAGAAACAGATCACTAGGCCTTTATTCCAAAGCAGCAATGGGTAGACTCAAACTTTTGACTTTAAGGGTGTTAACTGTTTGTACCACTAAGGGACTCCAAGGTATTAATAGTTATCATGAAGTGAATAATCCTTTTGTTTAATATATTGGACCTTAGATTTATTGACTCTTCCTTGTCAGTCTAAAGATGTGAATGCTTGGCATGTAGTAGGTATTTCATCAATAATGTTGACTAAGTAAGTAAATGAAGAACTGATTAAATACTGAATATTTTTATCCTCATATTCCAGACATTATAAAATGAAGGGTGGCAGAGTTTAGTAATTTTTTTACAATAATTTTTGCTTCACAGGAGCTCTGGTAGCGTAATGGTTATGATTCGGGCTGCGAACCTT